CTTGGTAACAGCCCAAATGCAAGAATGTGACTCAAAAGATGATGCACACTTTTAGAAAAAATGGCTTAATGGTAAAAATGCCCATAAAACTTGTTGGAAAGGATTAATTTACATCACTGATGTGAACTGACCACACAGAATATGAAGAATATCAAAAAATTCAGGAGTCAGCTGTCAGCACAATTAGAGATAAGATATCAGCACAATAACACACTCTATAGCAAAATATTGTCTATTTATCGTTATCGATAAAATCCCAGAAAATATCGAGATATAATTTTTTGTCAATATCGCACACCCCTAATATGAACTGCAATTGAATAGAATTTTGGGCTCATTTCGACTTACGTCTTGATTGCTCATCTCCCAGTATGGTCTCTCGCCGTATGACATCACTTCCCACATAACAATGCCGTAGCTCCACACGTCACTGGCTGAGGTGAACTTCCTGTAGGCAATGGCCTCTGGAGCCGTCCACCTGATGGGAATTTTTCCTCCCTGCAAGACAAACAGCTTGCTGAAATCTCACATCGTCTCACATCAGAAACGTGTCTTGTCAGAGCATCTTAACGGGTGATTATCGCTGGGAAAGAATGGCGTCAGGCTGTGAAATGTGACAGGAATCATTAGGTCTGTGGATGGCTGCTGCATGCCAATCGCTAATTGACTGTCCTGGTCTTAGCGCTCTCCGTCTCTGGCGGCACTGAGGAGACATGTCTTAATTTACTTTGCCGACAGTTCACTTAGCCATAAAACGCTTCCCTCAGTGTTACTTTGACACACCAATACAAGAAACAGATGACAAAGAGCGCTATGCTATGCTAATTATGACAGCCACCACCAAACCTCTAATTATCCTCTTTCAGAACAAGGCAGCTCCATTTTCAGGGCTCAATAATAATTAGTTCTCACTGTGGAATACATTCTTTCTTGCTCTGACCAAATTTCACTGGTTTTGAGGCAAAACAAATTACAATTCTGGCAGATGACAGTGTTATCTGTACATGCTATCTGGGGCCGGATTCACAACACATTCTTAAAAATAAAATACTTCTTAACTGCTATTTTCTATTTGCTTCTATTTACAACACTTACATACAGGTCTCATTCTTTCTAGAGACAGAGCAAGAGAAACAGTGGAAATGAATACATTTAAAAAATATGTTCTTAAGAAAACACTTAAGAAGGTACTCAAGAATTGTTCAAGAGTTGCAGACTTATGATTATTACATTAATCTGCAGGCTGTGCAAAAACATGGACTTTGAGGTAATTTTCATTGAGTTCATTGAGTCTTTGGCAACAACGCCATACACAACACCACAGCCTGTCATGTTAAGACAGTTCTTGAGAATTCTTAAAAAAAAAAATTAAGTTGAACTTAGTAACATTCTTACGAACATTTTAGAATGAGTATTAAACTCCTGCCAAGCCAATCACAATGAAAATAATGCATGCTTGTTATGATTATTACATTAATTTGTGGGCTGTGCAAAAACAGTCTTTGAGGTATTTTTCATTAGATTCATCAGCAAGTGACAAAAACTTCCATACAATCAGATAACACCAAATTCTGTTTTAGAAAATACTTCTTAAGAAAATACTTGATAACTTTTAAATATTTTTTCAAGGGTTGTGCTTCTTAAAAACATTATTAGATTTATTTTAATATTTCATTTTAATTAAATTAAATTAAATTTAATTTAATTTAATTAATTAATTATTATTATTTTTTTTTTGTGAATCTGGCCCCTGGAATTATTTTAGCACCCTTCAGTAAAATAGTTATATAAATCAGTGAATTGCCATCCAAGATATGCAATTCTGACTCTGCAGGTCAGTTCAGTATGAAAGATAATTTTTTGTGCAAATTATAAACTTAATTCTGACAATTCTATGGTGGAAATAAGCATCCATAGTTCAGGGTTCATTCATAGTTCTAGGTTGTAGAATGTAGAGGATGCAGCACATGATTTTGTAGTGTAAAATGTCCCTAATGCACTCTGCAACAGAAGCATCCAGCTTAATATGTTACTGCAATATCAGAGAGCAGGAAGACAACAGTATTAAAAAGTAGGGTGCTAGTGGCACTGGGTTTGAATCCAGGATTAAAACAAAGGCCTGCTGCGAGGTGTAGTAGGTTAGCTGTTAGCGTGACTCAGCGTTTATCCTCTGTAGCACGTACGCGGGTTGTGTAGGCCGCCTCTGGGTCGTCCTCCAGCACTCTCGACAAGCCGAAGTCGGACACCTTACACACCAGGTTGCTGTTGACCAGGATGTTGCGGGCAGCCAGGTCACGGTGCACATAGCCCATCTCAGAGAGGTAGCGCATGCCAGAAGCAATGCCACGCAGCATGCCGACCAACTGGATGACAGTGAACTGACCGTCGTTCTTCTGTTGGAGCAGTAAAGACATATATTATACATGAATATAAGCATAATACAATTGAATGCTTATACTTCAGAAAGAATTAATAACTGTACAAACTGAGTAATTACATGAGAAGAGCACCTTTGTGTCTGCATTTGATAAAGTGCACACAACAATCTGCAATTAAGTGCTTGGTAGTTTATATATGAATTCAAAATTAATTACAAATAAATTAATTAAAAATGAATTATAAATATATAATTGCAAACTTAATTATAAATGAGTTTAGATAGATAGATAGATAGATAGATAGATGATAGGTGGATAGGTGGATGGATGGATGGATAGATAGATAGATAGATAGATAGATAGATAGATAGATAGATAGATAGATAGATAGATAGATAGATG